TTGTAATCACATGAAGGGGCAGAGTTGGGAGGGGGTGACATCACAGATACTGTTCTTATAATCACATGAAGGGCAGCATTTCACTCCTGCACATTCACAGGCACAGCTGGGTTCACCTGCACTGGTGTGTCCTGAGATCCAAGTGACAGCATTTTCTATGTGCTATTGAGCTTAGGATTTATTAATGAATTACAAGGCCAAATCATGAGATTTTCAGTGATAAAATTCAAAGACATTTTCTTGGACTAAAATTTTGGTTTTTAAAGTTACTTAATAAGTGGCACCCATAGTTCAGCGGCTAGGATGCCACCAACATACACCCAGGCTAGCAGGTTTGAACACGGCCCAGGCCAGTTAAACAACAGTGACAACTGCAACAAAAAAATAGCCAGGCTTTGTGACAGCATCGGTAGTCCCAGCTACTTCGGAGGCTGAGGCAAGAGAATCACTAAAGCCCAAGAGTTTGAGGTTGCTGTGAGCTGTGATGCCATGGCACTCTACCGAGGATGACATAGTGAGACTCTGTCTCAAAAAAATAAATAAATAAAACAAATAAAGTTACCAAATAAACAGAGGTATAGATGTGGCTTCATGGAAATGACAGTGGTAGCTAAGCGTGGTGGCTCATGCCTGTAATCCTAGCACTCTGGGAGTCCTAGGTGGGAGGATCCCTTGAGCTTAGGAGTACAAGACCAGCCTGAGCAAGAGTGAAACCCCACCTTTTCTACAAATAGAAAAATTACCCCAGCATTGTGATAGGCACCTGTGGTCAGTTACTCAGGAGGCTGAGCAGGAGGATCTCTTGAGCCCAGAAGAGGTTTCTGTGAGCTACGATGATGCTGTGACACTCTAGCTTGGGCAGCAGAGTGAAACTTAGTCTCAAAAAAGAAAAAGAAAGAAAATGACAGTGGGAAGTAATACACTCTAACTGGAACAGATTAATGAGGAAAGAATTGAGGAGAAACTAGAATGAAAATGAGGTCAACCAGAGGTCGAATCACCTTATCTTGTGCTATACAAACAAAAACGTAGCAATAGTCCAAAAAGGAAAAAAATTCTTTCTTTTGTTTTGTTTTGTTTTTGATACAAAGTTTCACTTTGTCACTCACAGTAGAGTGTCATGGTGACATAGCTCACAGCAACCTCAAGCACTTGGGCTCAAGTGGTCTTCCTGCCTCCCAAGTAACTGGGACTAAGGCGCCCGCCACAATGCCTGGCTATTTTTAGAGACAGGGTCTTGCTCTGGCTCAGACTGGTCTCAAATTCTGTGAGCTCAGATGATCTACCACCTCAGCCTCCCAGAGTGCATGCGCCACCTCTCATGGCCCCGGATAAAAATTCTCGAATCATCGTAGTAGACATAATAGTTCAGGTACAGTGGTGTTATAGTTAGTACTATTGAGGAAGTATGGCTTCTTTGTGTATACCCAGCTCTGTACTAATCAAAAGTTCATTACCAGAACATGTAGTTATAGAGACACAAAGAAAATATTTTTGTTAAATAGTCCTTTTAAAATGTTCTGGTATTGTTTGGGCACACACTTTTTCATTGAATGGACATAGGGTCAAAAGTGAGTATGTTGTTTTCTGTTTAAAAGGAAAAAAATAAGCAATGATGATGATGACTTAAGAATGGACCATCATGCTCAA